GATGCAATTTATTTTATTTCGGAGTCCTTTACCATAGTTTTGGACCACTATTACTTCTCGGACTGTCGCCTCTCCCTGTTTGTATTTAGGGTAGGTCACCTTCAGCCTTGGATTTGCATGAGCGTCAACTTTCGTCTCCCTCTTCAGGTTATAGTTAAAGTGGATGGCTGCTAAAATAGTACTACAATTAAAAATAATTAAAAAACAAGGTCATTTATTTTGGATTGCAGGAAATAATACTTTTTTGTATAATGTGTAAAGCATTTCTCTTGTTTTGCAAATATGAGAGCCATCATTGGAGCTAGTTAATTTTCCCATAATTTTCCAGGAGTGATAATTAATATATAATCTACATGAGAAAATCAAGTGAAATGTGTAAAAGTAAAGAAAGAAAAGAGTATCTTTTTATTAACTGTACTGTCTGAGCTGCACTAGCTGTCACTCACCGGCACAACATCCCAAGTAGGAGTAGCCCAGCATCTTCGGGGCAAACTGGTTTACAACAGAGTGGTATCCCTCTAAGCAGCTGGTCTGTACCACAGGGGATGCTTGCTTGATACCCTTCAATAGCGAGTGCTGAGTAAGGGCTTCAACCAACTTCTCGTAGGCAATGGCCCATGAGAAAATAGTATTTTCAGACATTTGGTGAGTATTGACTTCATGCATTGTATCTATGCTGAAATGCTATATGAGCCAGAATAGAAAATACAAATACCTTTTGTCAAAAAAAAACACGTGGCGTAATAATTAGATCGTGAGCACTCTTATTAAAGAGCTGGTTTGGCAAATCTTTGTGTTGGTTTATGATGTGATACAGGAAGGCCTTGAATTTAGCTAGTATCACATCTCCAAGCTTTGGTGTTGTAGAGGTAACTGACCAATAGAAATGCCTCACACAAGTCTGCTTCCACCTTGCAATAACCTCGCAGCCCTTTTCCTTACNCCAGTATCATCTCCAAGCTTTGGTGTTGTAGAGGTTACTGACCAATAGAAATGCCTCACACAAGCCTGCTTCCACCTTGCAATGACCTCGCAGCCCTTTTCCTTACTTAGCTTTGTTAAGGCCTTTTGAATTTCTGGCATGAAAAAGAGAAAAGCATTGTGAAAATCAATGTACAAAGGGAAAAAATTACAATCACTAATAAAAATGATATTATTATTCAACCTTAGTGAAAAATGCTTAATCTCATTAGTATTTACTTTTGCCAATGTGCCATAGGTCAAAGAAGTGGTCAATGACTGGCTTTCGTAGTTCTCTGCATTTCTTGGGACATTCCTCCCTCATCCACTTTGCAATTGTCTGGTGGTGGTCGGAAATGAATGACTTGATTATCATTCCAGTTCCCAGCAAGAAGGCAAAAGCTTTTTGATGGCCCAAAAACTCCATGTTGGAGCTGCTACCCACTTCATTAGCCTACCAAAAGAATGACTTGATATTCAATTTTAGCAAATGAAGGAAAGAAAAGCAAAAAACTAACACAACAATCTGGTTGGTATGAGGCTATGTTTAAAAATCACCTAATTCATAGAGCATTGTAATAAACATTTAATTTATTCATTGCCCGTAAGCATGTGCTTTGTAGCTGTTTTTTGAAAGCATTACCTGGACAAGAACAATATGAATGATCAGACCAACAGTGCAACAAAATATGGTATAGGTGCCATATTTTGCAGAGTGGCCCATGCTGTCATGTCGACCATCACCAGCAAGTACCACCTCCTTGCCATTAAGTGAATTTACAATGGTGTCCTGATAGGAGCGCCAAAACTTCACAATGCCGGGAAACAAAAGGTGCCACTGATGGTAGTAATAGGTAGCTTCATTGTAGCAGAGTAGTCCCATGTGCCTGAAAACTAGTAGTACTTTACCCATAGTTGCACCAGCACAGATGATGGCAAAGCTCAAGGGAATTTTTCCTGCTGGAAACTTGCCAAACAAATAGGGTTGCCTATTCCAAGTATAAGTACCTGCTCAGCTGCTGCACTTTGAGACAATTGACAACATGGTACCTGTTTGGGTCACACTAAGGTCAGGCTGACTTGCCAGACACAAATGGCAATATTGAAAGAGTAGGAGAATTTAAGACAGGAACACAATTCCCTTGGGTTCCTCCCAAGCATTCTTCCCCTTGCAAGTCAACCTGTGAATGACTAAAAAGAAGCCCTTTTAGGCTATTTGTGGGCAAGTGCTATGCAAGGGTACAAACTCCAAATAATTTTAATTGTCAAACCAACAGTATTGCTGGTGCACTTTCCCAGGCAGAAACTGAACCAAATTCTATTATATTAATTATATACAACACCTAACTTCACACACCTCATACACCCTGTGTGCTGAGTCATGTGAAACATCCAGCTTGTGAGTCGACAGTGTAACAAAAACCCCAGGTGCAATTTGAATATCTTGGTTGGTATAAAGTATGTGGGTTAACTCTTCCGATATGTACACCATGTAGCCCCTTTGGGTACATGGTGTACATATCAAAACTTGGTTTACAAATTACCTGGGTTTCTCACATTCTTCAGAGCTATCATTATCATCATTGTCATCTCCTGTCTTTTGATACACAATGTCTATTTCTTCCGGTGTCCATGTTGGATCTTCATCAGTCATCTTTGCAGTCGACTCTTAACAATTATAAATAAGAAAATGCATTTTTGCACTATGAAAAATTAAGATTAAAATTGTCTACATTTGGTTATTTTGCACAATGACAAATGTGAAAATGTTCCATTTTGTGTAATACTCAATAAAAGTATAATTCAGCCTTTATTAAGAATGTCCAGTCAGGAAGTTTTCGTTTCCGTAATTTGAATTTATGTCTAAATGAAAAAAGCCGTTTTTTCACTTATCCAAAGGTTAACAATTTCCCATCCTATTCTGTTGGTTTAAAAATGTCCATTTATGCAAAAGGCTAAGTTATAATGAAGGCTCTATTAAGTATCTTAAGTCCATTTTCGTGATTTTTATTTAAGCCAAAAAAATAAGCAGTATCTGAAAGAAATTTCCTGCTCAGTTTAGTGCATTTCTTACTAAAACATAAAGTTATAAGTACAAAAATGGTCAGACTATGTTCCTGGTGCTGCCTGTAAGGAAATACTGAAAAGAAATGCCCCGATCACTACATCCTGCATTATCTAGATGTACTGGTCATTCAAAACATTTATATTTTTACCGTTTTTGTGTTATTTATGAGTGGCATTATTTAATCCATGTAGCAAAATGAGTTGACATCACAAATCTGTGCAAATTAAGTAGAGCACACACCCTTGTATTACTGAGGGTACTTAAATTGCATCTAAGGGCCCTTGATATAACCTAAAATCTTAATAGCTCCACAATTGACTCATAACTGTGACACTTGCAAGCAGCTCTTCAAATGACTCCTAAATTTAAGAACTACAGCCAGCTCAACAAATGAAACATGAATTTATGAACTACAACCAGCTCTACAAATGACTCATATATTTATGAACTTAAACTAGCTTTGCAAATGACTCATAAATTTATGAACTACAGCCAGCTCTACAAATGACTCATAAATTTATGAACTACAACCAGCTTCATAAATTTATGAACCACAACCAGCTCTGCAAATGACTCAAAAATTTATGAACTACAACCAGCTCTACAAATGACTCATAAATTTATGAACCACAACCAGCTCTACAAACGACTCATAAATTTAT